CTGCAGGCAGCGGGCGTGACATCCCCTTCGCTCCGCTATTGACCCCCCCATCAGTTGGCTGCCTGGTTCAGTTACCCCCATCTCCTGCTGCATCCCTGAGGGGGGTGGGCGACTGCAGAGAGCGGGTGTAGGGTTTCTTCCTTCCCCCCCCCGCATCACCAGGTGAAGGTGCCTACCGGGACCTGTGATTGCAGAGCACGGAGCTGCCCTGCTGCATCAGTCGTGCGGGTGGCATCCAGCTGCGGGGCAGGATGGAGCGTGTTGCCTCCTGGCCCATCAGGTTGGAAGTTTCAGTCCAGACCTGAGTCTGGCAGGTTAAGGGCTGGGCCCCAAGGCAGCGAGTATGAGCATAAAGCCCAGTAATTGATGAGAAAAATGGAATTAAACACAGTGTGCCCGTCTCCTGTAGCAGTTCTCACAGCTACTGTATAGGTTGTGAAGCACAGGTCTGTGGTTTTCTTTCTAGATTCAAACTGTGGGTGTTTTATCCAACTCTTACTAACTTCCCTCTGGATTTTGGTAAGTCATTCACAGCCTCTATGATTCCATTTCTCATGGAAATAAAAATCTTCATTGCGTTTTCCAAAATACTTTGAATTCTGACTCTATGGAAGGGGGGAAAGAGAGAAGACAGCTTTAAAAATTATATTACCTTCCCTAATAACTTACTATCAGGTTGTATTTTTTTCCACTGGCATACTGAACTGGAGTTTGTATTTCCACGTTCCCATAAGAAATATGTGCTTTTACTTTCCTAGGGCTTTTTGTGGGAACTGCACTCAGTGCTACAAATGGAGACTTAATTATATAAGCACATTTACGTTGACACTGCTGGAGTGCACAAAGACCAGGGCAACAGTGAATAGAACCATTGATGACAGAAGTTTCTTAGTAAATATAAATAGATTAAAGGCAGCGTGGAATAGTCTTTTTAAAAAGGTTTTCAAAAAAGCTTAGGAGTCTGGCTGCAGCCTGTTATACCTGAAGGCCATAACTCACCCAGGCAATTCTCAAAATTATGCCCTGGCTTCAGAAAGAGCCACTATTTCAAAATGCAAGCATTAAAAGGGATGGAATGTAGATTAATGATATAAAACAATAAAAATAAATCTCAAATCTTATTCATGGTTCAGCTGTTTCCACTTTTTTATGCCACATGAGGTGGAAACTTGATTTTTATAATTAAGAGCTTCAGTTGCAATCAGATGTCAGGCAGACATGGCATTGAGATCAAACGTATCATGCTGTTACATTGCTGAGATAATTGCTTGAGCTGCTTCTCCCATTCAGATGGAAAAGAGGACTTACAGGGGCTGTGTTACCAAAGTGCAAGAAGGGTGACCTTGAAATGTGCATAGTGCCAGCCACTGAGAACTGCAAAACCAAAAATAAAGACTTTGTTTTCTGAAATGGTTTGTGCACCTACTGTATGACAAGAATGTGGGTGCTGCCTCATTTGAGGTGTCTAAGACTGGCTAATTCTTTTAACACTCCTGACAAAAGTCCCTCTTTACCTTTCCTTTTCATGCAGCAAGGTCAGGGATGCAAACGGAATGCTGCAACAGAATACCTTCCTTATTCTCAGAGAATTTCATGCCTCAGTTCTGCCTCAGCAGATGACAGCTGGGTGCTGCAGTCACAGGGCATTCCTTCCCTGAACAAACCGGGTATTACAGCTCCTTTTCAAACAAGCTGTGATGTGTGGTGCTGAAAATACCCCCTTTAAAAATGGTGTTAAGCTTCACTATTCTGCTTGGTTTATTACTGGTCCCCAAGGCATGGGTGCAACTGGTCCATGATCAGCTACATCTCAGAGAGCAGCCTAAGAGCACAGGGGACACTGCTCTCCTGCCAGTGACCTTAAGCAATGATGCTCACATTTTCATTTAATTTGGAGACTACCTCGATGGCATGGTCCTATATGGCACTGCAACGAAAGCTCTGGAAGCCAACATCTCTGGTTGTTCACAGCCCCTTTGCACCCTGAGCAGAATGGGCCCACGGACTGTCAGGCCTTCAGCTGGAAAACGTGACAGTCACCAGGTAGGTTTTGGTAGGGAAAACTTTCACAAAAGCAAACGGCAGCCTTGTAACTCTGTTACACGTCAGAAGGTAACAACACATTATTTTGTGGGAACTACAGCCACTTGAAAAATAGCAATACTAAGCCTGCAAAGGAGGGAGGCCCTCACACTGCAGGGGAGGATGGCGAGCAGCAGCAGCAGCCTGGGCCAGCATCTCCACAGCCGTTCTGCAGAGGCTGCTCCAGCCCCGCTGCCCTGGGCTGCTCCCGGGCCGGGCTGGCCCCGCAGGCTGGCCTGGGATCCTTGGAAAGCCACGGGTGGGAAGGAGGGGGGCCGTGGCGGGCCGGGAATGCAGCAGGGAGAGAGAGATCTCTCCACACTTCATGCTAGAAAGGAGCTTTCCACTGAAGCTGAGTAAACCACAATTGTTTCCAGCAGCTCCTGACATGGCAAAGGATGCTGGGTTGACTCTCAGAATTCCGCAGCTCACAGGAAGGTGACTTCCCTGGGCTGTGCAGGGGCTGCTGGCAGTGCTTTCCTGAAAGCCCAGCAGCACCCTCACCAAACTGTAGCCATCTGAGGCTTGTTGTCCGCTGGCCTCGGCCGCCGGCGCCTTACATCTCCCTAGATTGGTAGATAGTATAAATAAGTATGAGATTTTGCCATGTCACTGGAAAAACCACAATAAATTGAAACTGTCTTAATTCTGTTTTGTTTTTTTTTTTGGATCTGAACTGATGCCCAGGCCAGACATGGTGGGGAAGACCACCCCCAGGCACTCCCTGTTCTGCATCTCATTCCCCAGGTTGCTAAGGGGCATTGAGCATCTTCAAGCCACTAAGCAGCATTTATTTTCACATTCTTTAAAAACTGGCCACAGTAGAGAAGTGCTGGAAAACATTCTTTCTGCTTCACAAAGAATTTTTGTTGTCCAAGTCTTTATTACTGTACTGATTATCCACTCAATATTCCTGCAAAAACCCTCAGCCCAGCCTAGCCTCTGAAAACTACAAAATGATGGCAAAAATAACACACTAAAACAAAACGAAAGCAGGACCTCATATGTACCAGGATTTTCTCTCCTAATTTATGACTAATTCTTCCATCTCTTGTTAGTTTATTTGGATATGAGTTTATGTCTCACAGGGGCAAGCAAGCCCCAATAACCATTACAGATGCCTTCTCTTGGGCTCCTTATTGCACTGACAGGCACAGCAGGGGTACCACTGGCCTTGTGAAATTAAGACATCATTTTAATGCAGCTTCAGCACATGGAGACGAGAGAAGAGAAGCAAACGTTTCTGAGGACTCATGCTTCCAACACATGCCCGAAGGGTTACTTGAGGTACTTGACAGTAAAGCCCACAGGGGGCAGTAGGACAATCTTCAAAAACCTTTCGTAAAGCAGAACTGGACGAGGAATGTTGCAGAAGAAAATAAGAGTTTGGTTATTATGTATCTAGATTTTCTAGGATTTATTTATTATATATATTTTTTCCCAAGTGTCAATTTTGTAACTGATTAAACAGCAGGTTGCATTTTCTGTGAAATTCTGGGTGGACCTCCAGGACCTGACAGAGGGACCTGTTGGAAGTGCTGACTGTTTTCTACTCATGTAGAGTAACATGTGTAACAGTGT